CGCCAAATCGTTTACCAACCAGGTACCCATTCACTGCTGGGTGAACAGCGGCTACAGTTAGCGCCCAGTCAATCCTCCCCGGCCAGGATACCAACCCAGGTCGCGAAGCGCCGGGCGAGTGTTTGACCACAGCGCCACGGGCACATTTCGAACACTGACTGCCTATACCAGGTGTGTAACCAGCTCATATGTGGCGTTAAAATCAACGAAATACAAGACCAGGTGTTCCAAACTTGTCGAGGCTACAAAAATTGAACACCCCCCCCCCTCCGCGTCCCTAACGACCCGTCAGAGTGATTAATTCGAAGGTAATTACCCCCCAGGATTAATTACCTTCGTTACATACTTCAGCTGAACCCCCCCCCCCCCTTCCTCATTAGACCCGAGAAGGCATAATTGGGTCAATCTGAGCGAAAAAAAGGCTGTTCAAAATCTGTTACTTTCGCCCCAAATTCATATCGACACCTTAGACCAAGAATCAATATTACAAACTCTTTCATGAACACAAAACTAAACTGCCGTGAATGTGATGAATGATAAACAGGTTTCGTGAATGAAAATGCGTGATGAGTCCTCACCCCCATGGCTTCAGTTCACCTTTTCTATAAACTGAATATACGTCGCTTTCTCTCCGGATTCCTATATATGTATATTTCAACATTTGTATACTTGACCCCCAAAAACCCCGAGAGCATTTAATTCGTAGCTTGTGACAGGGACATGAACACATTACTGGAGCCAATTAGCACAGGCCGGAAACTAATTAGTTGTGTCAGGTCAGCTAACACACACATCTGTGTGCCCTTGTTAACTTATTCCAGGGGATGCGATTTTATATTTTATATATATATATATATATATATATATATATATATATATATATATATATATATATATATATATATATATATATATATATATATATATTATATATATATATATATATACAGGTGCTACGGTACAGGTCGTACCCTGCCCTGTGGTACAGAGCTTTTAACTGCGCCTGGACTCAATTTGATTTGACTGACTGTTACTCCTTGTGTTCTGTTCGGCAGAAAATTTAATATCCAGCGTCCTACTTTACCAGTTATTCCCATTGACCTCATTTTGTGTGCAATCACTCCATGGTCACATTTATCAAATGCCTTTGTGAAGTCCTTGTATATCACACATCAGTATTCTGGTCATTCTTCTAATGCCTCAGTGACTTTGTCATAGTGGTCAAGTAGCTGTGAGAGGCATGATCTTCCCGCTCTAAATCCCTGTTGGTCTGGGTTGTGAAGGTCATTGGTCTCCATGAAACTGGTGACCTGATTCCTAATCACTCAAATACATTTATTATGTGGGTCGTTAGTGCAACTGGTCTATAATTTTGTTGACCAGACCACACACTAGAAATTGAAGGGACGACGACGTTTCGGTCACAATCGACTTGAGAATAGTCCAGGACGGACCGAAACGTCGTCGTCCCTTCAATTTCTAGTGTGTGGTCTGGTCAACATACTTCAGCCACGTTATTGTGACTCATCGCCTGCATATGGTCTATAATTCTTTGCCAATGCTTTGCTCCCACCCTTGTGTAGAGGGGCAATATCTGCTGCTTTCAGCGCATCTGGCATCTCCCCCGTGTCCAAGCTCTTCCTCCACACTATACTGAGTGCCTGTGCTACTGCCACTTTACATTTTTTTATAAATATTGTATCCATGAGTCTAGCCGCGGGGCTGAGTGCAATGTTGTCAATTTCCTGAAGCCTGACACTGGAAATAAAGGTTCCAGGAAGCCTGACGCTGGAAACAAAGGTTCCAGGAAGCCTGACGCTGGAAGCAAAGGTTCCAGGAAGCCTGACGCTAGAAACAAAGGTTCCAGGAAGCCTGACGCTAGAAACAAAGGTTCCAGGAAGCCTGACGCTGGAAGCAAAGGTTCCAGGAAGCCTGACGCTGGAAGCAAAGGTTCCAGGAAGCCTGACGCTAGAAACAAAGGTTCCAGGAAGCTGACGCTAGAAACAAAGGTTCCAGGAAGCCTGACGCTGGAAGCAAAGGTTCCAGGAAGCCTGACGCTGGAAGCAAAGGTTCCAGGAAGCCTGACGCTAGAAACAAAGGTTCCAGGAAGCCTGACGCTAGAAACAAAGGTTCCAGGAAGCCTGACGCTGGAAGCAAAGGTTCTAGGAAACCTGACGCTGGAAGCAAAGGTTCCAGGAAGCCTGACGCTAGAAACAAAGGTTCCAGGAAGCCTGACGCTAGAAACAAAGGTTCCAGGAAGCCTGACGCTAGAAACAAAGGTTCCAGGAAGCCTGACGCTGGAAACAAAGGTTCCAGGAAGCCTGAGGCTGGAAGCAAAGGTTCCAGGAAGCCTGACGCTGGAAGCAAAGGTTCCAGGAAGCCTGACGCTAGAAACAAAGGTTCCAGGAAGCCTGACGCTAGAAACAAAGGTTCCAGGAAGCCTGACGCTAGAAACAAAGGTTCCAGGAAGCCTGACGCTAGAAACAATGGTTCCAGGAAGCCTGACGTTAGAAACAAAGGTTCCAGGAAGCCTAACGCTAGAAACAATGGTTCCAGGAAGCCTGACGCTAGAAACAAAGGTTCCAGGAAGCCTTACGCTAGAAACAAAGGTTCCAGGAAGCCTTACGCTAGAAACAAAGGTTCCAGGAAGCCTGACGCTAGAAACAAAGGTTCCAGAAAGCCTGACGCTGGAAGCAAAGGTTCCAGGAAGCCTGACGCTGGAAGCAAAGGTTCCAGGAAGCCTGCCGCTGGAAGCAAAGGTTCCAGGAAGCCTGACGCTGGACACAAAGGTTCCAGGAAGCCTGAGGCTGCAAACAAAGGTTCCTGGAAGCCTGAGGCTGCAAACAAAGGTTCCAGCCTGCAGCTGGAAACAAAGGTTCCAGGAAGCCTGACGCTGGAAGCAAAGGTTCCAGGAAGCCTCCCGCTGGAAGCAAAGGTTCCAGGAAGCCGGACGCTGGACTCAAAGGTTCCAGGAAGCCTGAGGCTGCAAACAAAGATTCCAGGAAGCCTGAGGCTGGAAACAAAGGTTCCAGGAAGCCTGACGCTGGAAGCAAAGGTTCCAGGAAGCCTGACGCTGGACACAAAGGTTCCAGGAAGCCCAACGCTAGAAACAAAGGTTCCAGGAAACCTGACGGTGAAAACAAAGGTTCCAGGAATCCTGACGCTAGAAACAAAGGTTCCAGGAAGCCTGACGCTGAAAACAAAGGTTCCAGGAAGCCTGACGCTGGAAGCAAAGCTTCCAGGAAGCCTAACGTTAGACACAAAGTTTCCAGGAAGCCTGACGCAAGAAACAAAGGTTACAGGAAGCCTAACGTTAGACACAAAGCTTCCAGGAAGCCTGACGCTGGAAACAAAGGTTCCAGGAAGCCTAACGTTAGACTCAAAGTTTTCAGGAAGCCTAACGTTAGACTCAAAGTTTTCAGGAAGCCTGACGCTAGAAACAAAGGTTCCAGGAAGCCTAACGTTAGACACAAAGTTTCCAGGAAGCCTGCCGCTGGAAACAAAGGTTCCAGGAAGCCTAACGTTAGACACAAAGTTTCCAGGAAGCCTGACGCTAGACACAAAAGTTCCAGGAAGCCTGCCGCTGGAAATAAAGGTTCCAGGAAGCCTGACGCTGGAAGCAAAGGTTCCAGGAAGCCTGCCGCTGGAAGCAAAGGTTCCAGGAAGCCTGACGCTGGAAGCAAAGGTTCCAGGAAGCCTGACGCTGGAAACAAAGGTTCCAAGAAGCCTGACGCTGGAAAGAAAGGTTCCAGGAAGCCTGACGCTGGAAACAAAGCTACCAGGAAGCCTGACGCTGAAAACAAAGGTTCCAGGAAGCCTGACGCTGGAAGCAAAGGTTCCAGGAAGCCTGACGCTGGAAACAAAGCTACCAGGAAGCCTGACGCTGAAAACAAAGATTCCAGGAAGCCTGACGCTGGAAGCAAAGGTTCCAGGAAGCCTGACGCTGGAAACAAAGGTTCCAGGAAGCCTGACGCTGGAAACAAAGCTTCCAGGAAGCCTGACGCTGAAAACAAAGGTTCCAGGAAGCCTGACGCTGGAAGCAAAGGTTCCAGGAAGCCTGCCGCTGGAAACAAAGGTTCCAGGAAGCCTAACGTTAGACACAAAGGTTCCAGGAAGCCTGACGCTAAAAACAAAGGTTCCAGGAAGCATGACGCTGGAAACAAAGGTTCCAGGAAGCCTGACGCTGGAAACAAAGGTTCCAGGAAGCCTGACGCTAGAATCAAAGGTTCCAGGAAACCTGACGCTAGAAACAAAGGTTCCAGGAAGCCTGACGCTAGACACAAAAGTTCCAGGAAGCCTGCCGCTGGAAACAAAGGTTCCAAGAAGCCTGACGCTGGAAGCAAAGGTTCCAGGAAGCCTGCCGCTGGAAACAAAGGTTCCAGGAAGCCTGATGCTAGAAACATAGGTTCCAGGAAGCCTGACTGCGAAAACAAAGGTTCCAGGAAGCCTGCCGCTGGAAACAAAGGTTCCAGGAAGCCTGACGCTGGAAACAAAGGTTCCAGGAAGCCTGACGCTAGACACAAAGGTTCCAGGAAGCCTGACGCTAGAAACAAAGGTTCCAGGAAGCCTGACGCTAGAAACAAAGGTTCCAGGAAGCCTGACTGCGAAAACAAAGGTTCCAGGAAGCCTGCCGCTGGAAGCAAAGGTTCCAGGAAGCCTGCCGCTGGAAACAAAGGTTCCAGGAAGCCTGCCGCTGGAAACAAAGGTTCCAAGAAGCCTGACGCTGGAAGCAAAGGTTCCAGGAAGCCTGCCGCTGGAAATAAAGGTTCCAGGAAGCCTGATGCTAGAAACAAAGGTTCCAGGAAGCCTGACTGCGAAAACAAAGGTTCCAGGAAGCCTGCCGCTGGAAACAAAGGTTCCAGGAAGCCTGACGCTGGAAACAAAGGTTCCAGGAAGCCTGACGCTAGACACAAAGGTTCCAGGAAGCCTGACGCTAGAAACAAAGGTTCCAGGAAGCCTGACGCTAGAAACAAAGGTTCCAGGAAGCCTGACGCTAGACACAAAGGTTCCAGGAAGCCTGACGCTAGAAACAAAGGTTCCAGGAAGCCTGACGCTAGAAACAAAGGTTCCAGGAAGCCTGACTGCGAAAACAAAGGTTCCAGGAAGCCTGCCGCTGGAAGCAAAGGTTCCAGGAAGCCTGCCGCTGGAAACAAAGGTTCCAGGAAGCCTGACGCTAGAAACAAAGGTTCCAGGAAGCCTGACGCTAGAAACAAAGGTTCCAGGAAGCCTGCCGCTGGAAACAAAGGTTCCAGGAAGCCTGACGCTAGACACAAAGGTTCCAGGAAGCCTGACGCTAGAAACAAAGGTTCCAGGAAGCCTGACGCTCCAATGTCCCAACACCCAGCCCTCGCGCGCCCTCCAAGCGCAACACACTCAAACCGGCTCAAAAGATGATCAACTCAACTATGACTGTTGGCAACAGAACCAAGCACGAGGGGGGCCTCGAGGAAAAAAAAATCCTTACCTAATAAAGCCAGTAAATCTGTGTCTCATCCAGGCGTCAGTATAAAGGTTTACGGGGGAAAAGAGAGAGATATAAAAGTCCAAACGGGACTTAACCATCAATCTATATCCTCTTGGACGTGGCTAGAAGATTGAGGGGTCGAGGGGTGGGGTAGGGGTGGGGGTAGAGGGGAGGTGTAACAAGCAGATAGTGCCGTGGTAAGTGGAACGAAGTGATTCGAGACGATCACTGGGCCCAATCCCTGCCAATCACCGGGCCAGTAGGACAAGCGCTGTAAGGCTATAGGTGGGAGGAGAAGGAAGGGGGGGAGTGGAGGAAGAGGGAAGGGGGGGGGGTGGGCAGAGGAGGAGGAAGAGGAGGAAGAAGAGAATAAAACTGACCCAAACTGGGAAGTCCGACGAGAACACTCGAGAACACGAAGGAAGGAGAGAGAAGAACACGTCAACAAAGCAATCAAAATATAGAAGGGAAAATGCTCCCAGACACCAATAACCCCGACTCTCTGATCAACACACACACACACGCACACACACACACACGCACACACACGCACACACACACACACACACACACACACACACACACACACACACACACACACACACACACACACACACACACACACACACACACACACATATGTGTGATGGATAGATATGATGGAATACATGGATGGAATACAAGATATGGAATGATGGAATACAAGATATGATGGAATACATCACGCAAAAATGCAAGGATGCGGCAAACAAGTTTGTCCCAGTCCAAAAGGAAAACAGTGAAATGAAGATGAGAAACCCATGGTTTAATCAGAGATGTAGGCTAGCTAAGCAGCAAAGTAAAAGGGCATGGAGAAACTATAGGAATAACAGGACACTGGAGAGCAGAGAAAGATACCAGAATGCCAGGAATGAATATGTTAGGATGAGAAGAGAGGCAGAAAGACAATACGAAAATGACATCGCAAGCAAGGCAAAGACTCAGCCTAAATTGTTGCATAGCCACATCAGGAGAAAAACAACAGTAAAGGAACAGGTTATGAAATTAAGGTTAGGGGCAGAAGGATTCACAACAAACGACAAGGAAGTGTGTGAGGAACTGAATAAGAAATTCCAGGAGGTCTTCACCTTAGAGCAAGGAGAAATCCCAGAGATAAGAGAGGGAATAGCTAACCAGGAACCACTGGAAGAGTTTGAGATTACCAGCGGGGAAGTAAGGAAGTGTTTACTAGAATTGGATGTGACAAAGGCTATAGGTCCAGATGGAATCTCCCCTTGGATACTAAAGGAAGGAGCAGAAGAACTGTGCCTCCCGCTCTCCATGGTGTATAACAAATCACTGGCAACAGGGGAACTGCCAGAAATTTGGAAAGCAGCTAACGTAGTCCCGATATACAAGAAAGGGGATAGACAAGAGGCACTGAATTACAGACCAGTGTCCCTAACCTGCATACCATGCAAGTTGATGGAGAAGATTGTGCGAAGAAAGCTAGTGGAACATCTGGAGCGAAAGAACTTTGTAACACAGCATCAACATGGATTCAGGGATGGCAGGTCCTGTCTCACAGGGTTACTTGAATTCTACGACCAGGCAACAAAAATAAGGCAAGAAAGAGAAGGGTGGGCAGACTGCATATTTTTGGATTGTCAGAAAGCCTTTGACACAGTGCCACACAAAAGGCTAGTGAAAAAACTGGAGATGCAGGCTGGAGTGAAAGGGAAGGTACTCCGTTGGATACAGGAGTACCTAAGTAACAGGAGACAACGAGTCAGTGTGAGGGGTGAGGTCTCAGATTGGCGAGACGTTACGAGTGGAGTACCGCAGGGGTCAGTCCTTGGACCTATACTGTTTCTGATATAAGTAAATGATCTTCCAGAGGGTATAGAATCGTTTCTCTCAATGTTTGCCGATGATGCAAAAATTATGAGGAGGATTGAAACTGAGAACGATAGTAGGAGGCTACAAGATGACCTAGACAGACTGAGTGAATGGTCCAACAAATGGCTGTTGAAGTTCAACCCGAGTAAATGCAAAGTAATGAAACTAGGTGGTGGAAATAGAAGGCCAAACACAGGATACAGAATAGGAGATGAAGTACTTAATGAAACGAACAGAGAGAAAGATCTAGGAGTTGATATCACACTAAACCTGTCTCCTGAAGCCCACATAAAAAGAATAACGTCTGCGGCATACGTGAGGCTGGCTAACATCAGAACAGCGTTCAGGAACCTGTGTAAGGAATCATTCAGAATCTTGTACACCACATATGTAAGACCAATCCTGGAGTATGCGGCCCCAGCATGGAGCCCGTACCTTGTCAAGCACAAGACGAAGCTGGAAAAAGTCCAAAGGTACGCCACTAGACTAGTCCCAGAACTAAGAGGCATGAGTTACGAGGAAAGGCTGCGGGAAATGCACCTTACGACACTGGAAGACAGAAGAGTAAGGGGAGACATGATCACAACCTACAAAATCCTCAGAGGAATCGACCGGGTAAACAAGGATGAACTATTCAACACTGGTGGGACGCGAACAAGGGGACACAGGTGGAAACTGAGTACTCACATGAGCCACAGAGACGTTAGAAGGAACTTTTTCAGTGTCAGAGTAGTTAACGGATGGAATGCATTAGGCAGTGATGTGGTGGAGGCTGACTCCATACACAGTTTTAAATGTAGATATGATGGAGCCCAGTAGGCTCAGGAATCTGTACACCAGTTGATTGACAGTTGAGAGGCGGGACCAAAGAGCCAAAGCTCAACCCCCGCAAGCACAAATAGGTGAGTACACACACACACACACACCTTGCCCTATCACGCCCCAAACGGCACCACACACACCAGCGAAAATTAGATTAAAAATCAAACGGAGATTAGCCTCGGATATAGCCTTTTAGGCCCCACACACGACGGAACTGTGTCCTCTAGCAGCTCCAGGAGAGGGAGAGGGAGAGGGAGAGGGAGAGGGAGAGGGAGAGGGAGAGGGAGAGGGAGAGGGGGAGGGAGAGGGGGAGGGAGAGGGAGAGGGGAGGGAGAGGGGAGGGAGAGGGAGAGGGAGAGGGAGGGTGAGAGGGAGAGGAGGAGAGTGAGAGTGTGATAGTGAAGTAAAGAGAGAGAGAGAGGGAGAGTGCTGGAGAGGAAGTGTTTAGAGTGCGATAGAGGGAGAGTGCAATAGAGTGCAATAGAGTGCAATAGAGGGTGTGCAATAGAAGGAGTACAATAGAGGGAGTGCAATAGAGGGAGTACAATAGAGGGAGTGCAATAGAGTGCAATAGAGTACAATAGAGGGAGTGCAATAGAGGGAGTGCAATAGAGTGCAATAGAGTACAATAGAGGGAGTGCAATAGAGGGAGTGCAATAGAGTACAATAGAGGGAGTACAATAGAGGGAGTGCAATAGAGGGAGTGCAATAGAGGGAACGCAATAGAGTACAATAGAGGGAGTACAATAGAGGGAGTGCAATAGAGGGAGTGCAATAGAGGGAGTACAATAGAGGGAGTGCAATAGAGGAAGTACAATAGAGGGAGTGCAATAGAGGGAGTTCAATAGAGTACAATAGAGGGAGTACAATAGAGGGAGTGCAATAGAGGAAGTACAATAGAGGGAGTGCAATAGAGGGAGTGCAATAGAGGAAGTACAATAGAGGGAGTGCAATAGAGGGAGTGCAATAGAGTACAATAGAGGGAGTACAATAGAGGGAGTGCAATAGAGGAAGTACAATAGAGGGAGTGCAATAGAGGGAGTGCAATAGAGTACAATAGAGGGAGTACAATAGAGGGAGTGCAATAGAGGAAGTACAATAGAGGGAGTGCAATAGAGGGAGTGCAATAGAGTACAATAGAGGGAGTGCAATAGAGTACAATAGAGGGAGTGCAATAGAGGGAGTGCAATAGAGGGAGTACAATAGAGGGAGTGCAATAGAGGAAGTACAATAGAGGGAGTGCAATAGAGTACAATAGAGGGAGTACAATAGAGGGAGTGCAATAGAGGGAGTGCAATAGAGTACAATAGAGGGAGTACAATAGAGGGAGTGCAATAGAGGAAGTACAATAGAGGGAGTACAATAGAGTACAATAGAGGGAGTACAATAGAGGAAGTACAATAGAGGGAGTGCAATAGAGTACAATAGAGGGAGTACAATAGAGGGAGTGCAATAGAGGGAGTGCAATAGAGTACAATAGAGGGAGTACAATAGAGGGAGTGCAATAGAGGAAGTACAATAGAGGGAGTACAATAGAGTACAATAGAGGGAGTACAATAGAGGAAGTACAATAGAGGGAGTGCAATAGAGTACAATAGAGGGAGTACAATAGAGGGAGTGCAATAGAGGGAGTGCAATAGAGTACAATAGAGGGAGTACAATAGAGGGAGTACAATAGAGGGAGTACAATAGAGGGAGTGCAATAGAGTACAATAGAGGGAGTACAATAGAGGGAGTACAATAGAGGAAGTACAATAGAGGGAGTGCAATAGAGTACAATAGAGGGAGTACAATAGAGGTAGTGCAATAGAGGGAGTACAATAGAGGGAGTGCAATAGAGGGAGTGCAATAGAGGAAGTACAATAGAGGGAGTGCAATAGAGTACAATAGAGGGAGTACAATAGAGGGAGTGCAATAGAGGGAGTGCAATAGAGGGAGTACAATAGAGGGAGTACAATAGAGGGAGTGCAATAGAGGGAGTACAATAGAGGGAGTGCAATAGAGGGAGTACAATAGAGGGAGTACAATAGAGGGAGTACAATAGAGGGAGTACAATAGAGGGAGTGCAATAGAGTACAATAGAGGGAGTACAATAGAGGGAGTGCAATAGAGGGAGTGCAATAGAGGAAGTACAATAGAGGGAGTGCAATAGAGGGAGTGCAATAGAGTACAATAGAGGGAGTACAATAGAGGAAGTACAATAGAGGGAGTGCAATAGAGTACAATAGAGGGAGTACAATAGAGGAAGTACAATAGAGGAAGTACAATAGAGTACAATAGAGGGAGTACAATAGAGGGAGTGCAATAGAGGGAGTGCAATAGAGTACAATAGAGGGAGTACAATA